TTCAGAGGGTTTTACTTCACAATCCTCAATAAGGTTTTTCAGTTTTTCCAGTTGCTCGTGCACCTTTTTTGTACACAGTTTCTTCCTTCCACACAACTTTCCATCAATATCCTTGTAAATAGCATTCTGTGAACTGCCAGCTACTACAGTAATGACATACCTTGTTGACTGCAGGACTTAAAAGTCTTAATCCTTTTTTTTTTTTTTTTTTTTAGGTTTTGGAGAAGTTGTATTTCGGGTTTCCATTAGCTGTAAGCCATATTAAATTAAGATTTAAGTCATCTCCCAATTTATTGGGGTGGACCAATTTGTTTGCTGGTGACAAAGCTGGTTTTTCATGTTTCCTTTCATCTGCAAATGCTGCTGAAAGAGTTTCACTGTGTACATGTGAGATGTTTGCTCGCCTACCTGACAACAAAGTGAATGTCAGCTGCGTCTGTGTCGTGTCCTCTGCAAATGAGCCATGTAAATGGTGGCGTGCGGGCTGATGGCTTGCTTATCGTAAACATCTCTTTCATGCACCGTCACTGTGTTTTTTTGGTTTTTGTTTGTTTTCTTTCTGTTTTGAAGATGCCCTCGCCGTGGCCCGGTAGCGGGGCGGAGGAAATGAGGAATTACTCATCTGCCGCCGTGCGAAAGAATGCGAACTGGAATGTGGAGAACAAACGAGCGGTCACGTTGAAAAAGTTCGGATGCCTTTCTGAGGGTTTCGCTGATTTCCCATCATAGATTACATCAGTGTCACGAGGCACGGCGTCGCACACCTGAGCAGAGTGAAAGCCATATAAATTGTCCCATCGCTGCCCCCTTTTTTTGTGGCTAATTGCAGAACATCTCCTGGAGGATGTTCTGGAGGTTTGTGCTCACATGTGTCCTGCGTGCGTCTGTGCGCCGTTTCCACTCCTCGGCCGCTCATTATTGACCCTGGCCTGAGCTCTTTCATTAGGAGGGGCTGTGGAGTGGAGGGACAAAGGGGCTGGTGGGGGATCAGGGGACAGGGCGGAGGTTGTAATTAGGCTGTTCCGGTCCCCCTGGCCTAGCTCAAGGTCACTCTGAGACAAACCGAGAGGCCAGGTCTCATTCTCTTCTCCATCTCCTCCTCCTCTCCCCTCTTAAAGCCGCGCTGTTCCTCTCCCCCTCCCTGCCTTCATCTTTCAGCCAGCCTCCCCTTCTCCTGGGGTCCTTTGTCGCAGTAGACCGGTCCACCGGGGGAGCCACAGAGAAGCGGAGGGGCTAATTCAGTCTAATCTTTTAGCCTGTTAATGTCTGGCTGATATGTGGATTTCTGCGGATCCTCCGGGGAAGGCCTTTGTGGTGAAGGCCATCATTACTGCGTTTCCAGGCCCTCCTAACCAATTATAAGGAGGGAGACAAATTAGTTCTTGGCTAAACTTGGCTCTTGAGAAGTTTTCTCAATTTTTTCTCAACTTCGCTTCACATTTCCTTCAAGAAAAAAAAAAACAAAAAAAAAAAACAAGAAAAGCCTGACATTGCTGTTATTTTTTTTTTCTGTGTTTAAAAAAAAAAAAAGATTTTTGGATCCATCTTGTGCAGTTCCTTGTTTGGTTTCAACTCCAAGCAATCTGAGCCATGGAGAATTGTGGTGTAGCTTTGCTTGTCTTGCTCTGGCCAGCGGTGAGCTCGGTCTATCGCTTCCCCTCTGATTAAGACGCAGTGGTGAAAGCTGCCTTTGATCTGAGGAAATGTCTGCGTAGGAAGCAGTTGGAATGCTGCATTCTCCCCTGCCTTGCAGTGGGAAGGAGAGAGATAGTTTTACCATCTATTTGTCTTGCCCCACCGCTGTCAGTCCACCCAGTCATGCAGCGCTGTGAAAAGGAATTTGCCCTCTTAAAAAATGCCCTCTTTTTTTTTTTTATACTTTTAAAGGTTCTAAAACAAATCGTGCAGTTTTGAAGTGATCGTTTTATTTGTGAAGCAACAACCAGGTGCTGAGTTTTTGAGAGTTTTTAAGTATGAAATGCCCTGCAAAAGGTCACGACACTGCAACTTCATAATCCAATTTAATACTGCAAAAACACACAACCTCACCAAGTGTGTTTGTTCTAGTTTCTAGTGGAAATATCTTGGCACACTTGAAAGAGGACAAAACTAAAATATAAGTTACCTTTCAGCAAGATATAGAAACTTAATTTAAGTAAATAGTTTTACATTTTGATGAAAAAGCAGATTATTTAACTTATAATAGGACATTTTGGTAACACTTTATTTGAAGGGGGCTGAATAAGACTGTCATTACACTGTCATAAACATGTCATAACACTTGTCATAAACATGAATAAGTTTCATGAATATTTATGACTGTTGTCATAAAGCGTCATTCGGTAAATTATGACACTTTTAATACAAAGTTGACATTATTCAAAATGTCTTTGTTATGACAACTTGTCATTAACCAAGAAATCATTACTGATATAAATTTGTTATAAAAGTGTTTCTGATTGCACTTTAAAAATTAGGTAACTTTATGTTATTAAAGGTAAAGTTTAAACAGTTTCAACCCCCTTCAAATAAAGTGTTACTGACATTTTTTCCCATGTTAAAAGTGAAATAATCTCCTTACTTTTTCGCCAAAATTAAGGAGTTATTACCAAGCTTGTATATCTTGCTGACAAGTAACTTGTAAGTTTAGTTTTGTCTTATTTCAGGTGAACATATTGTTTATTTTTATTCTGAGTTGAAGAACTCGTGTCATTCTCCTCCTAAGTTCTCCTTTTGTATGTGTGTGTGTCTCTGCAGGACTCCATCGATAGCGACCACGCCGGCTTTCTCCGACATCTCCCTCATTCGGATCTCCCCCCAGCGGAACCCGTCCATGGGGGCGGAGTCGCCCTTCCACCCTCCTCACCCCTACATCAGCCCATACATGGACTACATCCGCTCCCTCCACAGCAGCCCCTCCATCTCCGTCGTACCGGCCGCGCGGGGCCTCAGCCCGGCAGATGGTGAGTAAAGTGAAACATACACCGACGCACACCCTCTCAACACACACACACACACACACACACACACACACACACACACACACACACACGCACACACACACACACACACACACACCCCAGCAAGGGTGCGAACGATCCGACATGGCCTCAGTAGGCCTTTAAAAATAATTGTTGGAATTGATCAGTTGCTATTAGGAGGAATTTCATCTCTCTGTATCGGTTTGATTCCGGTTTGGGATCAGACGGGGTCAGGTGAGAGGCAACCGGATCCATCTCTATTAAGACCCAGGGGTCCGGGAGACGTTATTTGAGTCAGTTAGCTGGCGGGTCGGAGCGTTAAGAGTGCGGCACGTTCCAAGTGGGTGGGGGGCGGGGGGGTGCTCCTGTCGGAGAGGGAGGCTAATCCGTTTGATCTGTGAGACGTGTCGGAGACCTCAGGAGGACGGAGCAGCGAGCGGCGGAGTCACATACAGTTCCACTGAGGAGGAAGGAGGGTTCTTCAGGTGTTCTGGTTTCATAAACAAATGCACCAAATGAATTTGGAAAAACTAAAGATTTTTGATTAAAAAAAAAAAAAAAAAAGTAGTGCTTGCAGGTTAGATCCAGGATTTGGTACATGGTAGAAAAGGTAGACGGAACGATCTGGAGAACACACTTCGATTATCTGCAGGCTTGTACCCAGTTTTTAAACAAAAATACTGGAAAGTATGGAATTTGATCTGGTTTTCAAAATGAAAATAGAAAATCTGATAGAAAAGTGTCTTTTTTTAGAAGATTTTGTTCATCCATTTGGCAAATTCAGTTGGTGAGGCCACTGAAACTATATGCCATGCATTTGGAAAACATTCAGAGCAGATCACTTGTTCTTTGTTACACTTTTATTTCAAATTAGGCTAAAGTAATTATTCTCCTTTAAACTCTATGTACAACACCCAATAATTGATTTTTTTTCTTTTTAATCTGCAAATATCTTAAAGATAAATAAGTAAAAAGAAAATCCAAATTAACGTCCATTCTGTTTCCACTGATCATCTCAAAGTTGATCCGCTCGTTTGGATTGGAATCCCGTCCAATTCAGTTCAGGAATTCAGAAGAGCGTTCATCTTTTTACATAAGGTCAGAGTACAAACTAAACATGAAGCCAAAAGAACTGTCCCATTCAAACACTGGATCCTGGAAGATTCAGCAAACAATAATGGTCAGAAATCAGTGTATCAAACTCAAAGTATCATATTCAAGAAGACTTGAGGGTGTAAGTGCTGCCAAATGTGCATCAAGAAAATATTGAGCAAAGTAAATGAATAATTAGGTACATTTGATTTCTTCTTTTTTTAATATACTTGGAAGCAAACAACAGCTTTTCCACATTGTCATTATGGAGGTTTATGTGCAGAATTTTGAGAGTGAAATTGGGTTTAGTCTATTTTAAAATAAGGTTGCAACATCCCAAAGTCTGAACAGAGTTTCAGAAGAGTTTCAGGAGATTCTAACTGTACAACATGTTCTCATGAATATGCAAAGTTATTATACTTTACAAAATGGTTTCCTGTAGGCACCTTTTTTTGTAAAATACAGTTACGGTCAAATTCCTTGAGCTCTCGCCAAAAAAAGATCCCCATCTACATTCGGCTTTTAGATCTTCAAATCCCCAAAATGACCCATTATTCGCTCTTTACATCCTCAGCCATCAAGATCTTGGCACATGAGTCACAAACTGCCTCTTCGGCTACCTGTCTGATGTTTGGATGTATGTGTGAATTGGCAGATAGTGGGGTTATTTCCTTTACATCTGCACACTTCCCTTAATCTCGCGCAGACCTGATAGCCTCTAAGTGAGGGTTGAAGTGTCTGCTTCACTCAGCGCCTCTCCTGCGCTTGGAAGCGGCTCCGACTCTCTGCCCTCCAGGTTTTCCATTACCATAGCGTAATGTGCGCCAGGCTCAGATTGCCTTAAATCAAAATAGTTCCTCCAACCTACCACATGATCCCCCGTTTAATTCATAATGCCGTGAATGGTGAATGAGGCACCTAATTACTCCTTTAATCAATTCGGTGATTAATTAACCCATCAGCTTTTGTGTTGTTAGTATATCACTGCGCTTACAGGGAGCCTCCTTCTTCAGTATGCAAAGATTTTTTTTTTCTTTCTTCCCCCAGCAAAAAGTACATTTGAATAATGATGAATTAATTAACAGAATCTAATGGAGATTTAAAAGTGGGTGGGATTTAGTGCCACCCTCCTTCTGCCACACATTTGCTTTCACACGTTTTCACGTTATATATTCTCCACGACAAGCGGTTCAGAGGTAGACTCGCCCCTGATCCTATTGTTGTGCCGAAGGAGCGCCCGGTGGCTCAGCTCGCCGAGTCCTGAGGCGAGTCTCTGCCTTCTCCACATACCCCCCGTCCTCCCTCCACCCCGCACTCCTTTTGCCCCCAGGATGGCACTCGGATGCCAACGTTTCTGATTTAGAAAATTCCACAAAGCTCTTTTCCGCGCGCCGATCCTGAATGGGACACATTACGGCTGAATGCGAAAGCAAAGCCGAGGCGGAACACTGGTGACAATTAAGAAACTCCCCCTTCTGCTGGAGACATAAAAGCCAGATCGAATTAATTTACAATTTTTTTTTTTCTTCCTCCTTCCTTTCACTCAGCCAATCGTGGAGGCATACTGCAGGCATGCGGGCCAGACTTAAGAGGAAATCTCCTCACACACTGTTTCTTTATTTATTTTCCTCTTGATTTCTCAAATTGGGGGGGAAAAGGAGCTTCAGCGGTCTGAACCGATTCCATATCTTAATCCAAAAACCACACTGTTAGTCTTTCTCCCCTCTCCCTCTTTCTTACAACATTTGCATACAGAAGCCCTCTGCCAGATGTTTATTTTTAGGCTCCGGTTCAAGGACTCCGACTGAGGGAGCGACTTGGAAAGAAGGAGAGAGAGAACCAAGTGGAGGCAGGATGGTTTCTGTGTCGTTTTTGTGCGCTCAGATCCATCTGAGAAGATTTAGGCCCCTTTTGTTTTGCGACGGAGCAGAGTTGAGGAGCAGGTTGCGTATCTGCAGACTGCAGCGCTGATGCGTGCGCCACACAGGCAGCATGTTTGCCAAAAGATGCACTGGCCCACGTTCTCTCACCACACACACACACACACACACACACACAGAGAATATTCACACCCTTCCCAACTGCAGTGGATCTTATTGGGTTTGGAGCCACACAGCTCAACCAATCAGTGAGTTTACTCACTCGGTTTAGCGAATATGATCACTAAATCACAAACACACATTCTTATATTACTTACCATGAAGACGAAGCGTATTGTTTAACCTGCCCCTTTCTCAATGATTTCAAAATAAGTTTCATGGCCGTATGCATTAAATTGACATTCAGTAAAAGGTGCAAAGAATATCAGTCCACCTCATTATTGAAGAGAATGGAAAATAGATGGAGGTTTTCAAGTTTTTATTTTCATTAGAAATGAAAATCCACATTTCTATTCAGCACCTCTTTTACCCTGGTACCCCTAAATAAAGTGCAAACAATTGCCCTCAGAAGTCACCTAAATCGTAGATCAAGTCCCTCTGAGGTTTGTTAGAGAACGTTAGTGAACAACCAGCATCATGGAGATCAAGGAACATGGCAGACAGGAAGCCAAGGTGAAGTTTAAAACAGGTTATAAAACAATACTGGAAACTTTGCACATCTTACAAAGCTGTTTAATACATTATCTGGAAATGGAAAAATTTCCTCCTACACTGACGAGCCAGAAGAGGGAGCATTATCCGCAGCTCGGGACGGAGCAGAATTGACCGGAAGTTCATGTCAGCGGTTCAATACGCACTTTAAAAATCTGCCTTAGGCAGAGATTTAAGGAAGAATGCCTCCTTATCTTTTTGCATAAAGCCTTGCAGGGAACGCAGTTAGTAGAACAAACTGCACATGATGGTTGCAGGATCCCTGTGCGGGAACGCCATCCTCCAGCAGGCAGAGGGACGATGTGCGCAGCCGAACACAGAAATCGATTTGGGGCGAAGCAACGGCCGTAAACATTAGCACAGACTCAGAACGAAATGGTCTAATTAAAACTTATTCAAACCAAAAAGCTAAATCATATCCTCTCCATTCTGCAAAAGACAATGGACTTTGTGTATAGATGTGGAAAGCCGGTAGAGTCAGACCTCAAAAGACTCGCAGCGTTTGAGGTCAAGCAAAAGGTCATGCTATGAGTCATGGGCTGAAAACACTGTTAAACTGTGTTGGTCTGTCACATAAAATCCCAATAAAATATCTTGAAATACTGTGAATGAAATGTGAAAAAGTTCAAGTCTTCAACACTTGTGTACAACATTGTAAGAGGTGATTAGAGAACACCAAAAGCAAACAGCTATTTATGGGCCGTGTTGCTACATGATCAGTTATGCTGCTCCATGCTAACACGCTCGCTGTGATCTGGGAGCCAGCGGGAATCCCCAGTGAGACTCCAGTCTTCAGGTGACGCTCCCTGTGCAGCTGTTTTGGTTAACATGATGGGGTTTGCTAATGCGCTCATTACTGTTCTGCTGAGCTGATTATCATCTAAAGTAAATGATTGCAAGTTTTCTAACGCAGCGCAGGTGTTCTTGCTGTCGGCTTTCCCTCCGCCGCCTAATAAATTAAAGCCGCTGTTTCCTGCTCTCTCGCCAGCTTCTTTCTAAATGTTCAGTTTTTTCCTCTTTTGCTGACATGAGCTTCCTTTTTGTCCTGCTGCAGCGCCTCACGCCGGTCTGACCACAGCTGATTACTACCACCAGATGGCTCTGCTGGCGGGCCACCGCAGCCCATACGCCACAGACCTTCTCCCGTCTGTGGCGTCCACCGGCAGCGCGAGCAGCGCCACCGCCCTGCACATGGAGTACCTGCAGGCGATGGAGAGTGAGTCTCAGATTCTGCATTTTGAACAGATTTCCTTGTAGAAGGTTATCCTGTTGTTGAAGGAAAGTTCTTTTAAACTTATTTAACACTGATAAAACATTTCTTCTAGCTCTACAAGTTTTGTCTTTAGACTGTGGCCACTTACTTCTGAAATATGAACCATTCAGGTATAAAACCAGTGCTGGGAACCTCCTTAGACTTGTTGAAATGAATAATATGAAAAGCGTTGAGATTTATTTGTGTGCATATCATGTATCTGAAGTGTTTATGAACCATTTTTTTTAGGGTTGTTTTTTTTTTTTGCTAAAGCGTATAAAAATAAGGTTAATTTTATTTCCTAAAGATAAAAAAAGAGTATATTTTTTTATTTATCCTGATTTGCAGATGAAATACAGCAAACTACACTGCACTGGTTGGTGTAGAAATCTTGAGGAAAACATTTAAATCAAAACAGAAAACTTACATCAGCCTCAGGCTTTAGTGTCTCTGGTAAAGATGAGTGAAACTCCTGGAAATTAATTCATTTTTAATGCAGTAGCAGAGTTTTATTATGAAATCTATTGGACCACAGTTACGGGCATCGCTGCTGTTTTATTTGTATAACCAAACAGTTTCCACTCACTCCTCCCCTAGAACAGCTTACAAGGTTTGAGCAAACAGAGGAAAGGATCTCTGAGCATTTCTGTGTTTATTTTTCCTCATGTTTTGGAGAAACGCGAGACCTCGTGAAGACCTGTGTTCAGATTTTTGGGAAAGTCTACAGTTGCTTTTTAATTATTGTTATTCTTACGAGGCTCCTAGTGCAACAAGAACAAATCAGAACTAATGCCATTTCCATGAGATCAACACTCATCTGCCTTACTCCACTGCCATGATCTCTTGTCTTTCCATTTTTGAAGAGAAATTAAACTTAAACTTAAACTTTAATTACGTTAAAGCTGTAATGTAGAAATTAAATTGTATCTCAACAATCCCTGTTCCGTTAGTGATTTGCTGAAAAACAAAAAAAAAATTTCTTTGTTTTTTTTTTTACCTAGGAGATAAATGTAGTATAATTATCAAAAGTAGAAACCGTTCAGTTGGTTGCACTGTTGCCTTGGATTCCTGGGTTTGGAGTTTTAGGTAAAACAGAAACGTGCTTTAATTATAAATTATACTTTATCGAGCATTTAATAAAGTATTTTGAGCAGCCGTATGTGATGAAAGACACCCACCACATCCACCCTGCTGGGATTGCACCTTTCTTTCTTATGAGCGCTTTTGTTCTGAGCAAACTGTGGGTGGCCCCTGCGGGAATTCAACCCTTAAAAGTGCACCACCACAGTGCTCCCATCTTCTATTCTATATATATCTATATACCTCCAGCTACTCCTCAACTTCTGCAACTTTACTTTGACATGATTTAAATGAGCCATTGTCTTAACGTGTCTGGCTCAGGACTGTACGCAAAGGACTTATGCTAATGAGTTATTTTAAAGTGTAAATAGGAAATTAAAGGCACATCGAATCTTAGAGAGGTCAGACAGCCTCACCCCGCTCCCTTTGATGGGAACGTATTTAGTCAGACACACACCGCTCTCATGGAAATCCGGGGGTGAACTTCCCCCCACTGTTCCTCCGAACAAACTAATTAAAACTAGCCAAACTTGTGCGGGTATCAGAAAATTAATTGCTATTAAGTGGGAATTGGAATGTCCCACCATTCATCACGGGAGAGAAATCCTTTCTTCTGTGTCACTTTTTAAGATTAATAGACTGAAACAAAACAATTAGGGCCAAATTCAAGAGGAGATGCGGTGTTCCTCTCTTAAAAAAAAAAAAAAAATCGCCTGTGATCATTGCTGGTAATAACTCATCACATTCAGGCGATGTGTGTTCCTGTGTAGGGGAAAAAAATTAACACTTTAAAGCTTTGGCGGATTTTAGGAAAGAGCAAAGTCTATCAGGAGACTTTCGGTGATAATCTGGGCTACCATGAAGCTATTTTAGTCCATTCCAAATGAGTGTAATTACCTTCAGAGACAGTTCTGCTAATGAAACAATGGGCCTGTCCTGCCTATTTGTGCTTTAATGGTCTATTGTCTGCGTTAGCACTGCCTAATTAGCACCATAGCTCTCATAGATCACGCTGACTGAAGTATACTCTACGCTACGATGTTTATTTGTGGCTTCTATTAACTAATCTCTGTGCTGTTTTTCAGCTAATAGGAAACCGTTTGCATAAACAAGTTTATGTTAAGATGTAAACACTGGGGTTGCTTTATTTAGCCCGGCAAAACAGCTATTATTGTTCAAATGTTTACACCTGATCACATTTAAACAATATGCACATCTAATCTCCATTGAAGTACTGTTTTTGTACTTTTAGGAAGTATAAACAGCTCATTTTACATTTTAGTGGTGTATAATTATATCAAAGTGAAAAAATTAAAAAAGGACATTTATATGGAAGCCCTTAATGGCAAAAAAGTATATCTAAGGGAATATTTTAAAGTTTATTTTTCTACAATAAATAAATTAATCAATAAATAGATGTTTAGAGTAATAAGTCAATATTTTTGTTTTCGATAATGATTTACTTTTCTTTGAAAGACAAACAAATAAAAAACAAAAATGAGAAAACATTCTAAACAAACAAAAAATCACAAGGAAACCCAAAAGAGCTAAGTACAAGAAAGAAATACGAGAAATAAATACAATACTTACAAAGTTAAGTAATTGTATTTAGCACAATACTTAACTTTTAGCTAAAAAAAAAGTCCCAGATTTAGCTTCATATTTAAAAAAAATAAAATAAAATAAAACACACACATTATACAAAGAAAACCAAACAAACAAAAACACATAGAGGGGAAAACTAATTTGCCTTTCAGGACAAAAATGGAAGAAAATTGTTCATAAAAATTATGTTTTGTTTTTTCATTTTAGTTATAGGCACTTTTTTAAAAATGTGCAAATAATTTATAAAAAAATATTTCAAAATAAACATTTGGTCAGGTTTTTAAAATTTAGAGAAAAATAAATCATCTGCTATTCAGGGGAAAATACTTGCATAAACTAAAAAAAGTCAAGAAAGTTTGGAAGATTTGTGTTTTTTTGTGTTATTAAACCTTTTTGAAATGAGTTCATCACTTTTTCAGGTCATGAGAAAAGAAACTTTCTGTAAGATTTAGAAAATGGGCACTTAGTAAAAAATATCACTTGCATTAAAAAGCAACAAAAGAATGTTAAAATAGTCAGACTTAGAAAAAGCGAAGTGAGGGAAAAATTAACATGGTCAAAAAAATAAATAAAATATTACATAAATGACTAAATGAACCGTTTTAATCTGACGAAAGCCTTTTCAGATTACAAGAAAAATAAATGTATGGTCTGACTTATGTAAAGGGTGCCTGGAATATATGGAAATAATACATTTTTTATTTCAATGCATATTTTTTACAATACCTTAACTTTTTAAAATGAGGACAAGAAGAAACTTTTGCTTAGATTTGGAAGAAAATAATTTATTTCCTTGTCTTTCAGGGCGTCAGTCCTTTTCTATATCCTAAATAAGCTGAATTGACAGAAATGTCCTTTTCAGTACAAGTTTTCTTTCTCTGCTTGTCACAGGATTATAACCTTGATGATTGTAAGAACAATAGTTATTGTATTGTGCTTCCATCTCCAGGATCTACTTTTACACTCCATAAAGTAGAATGTATTTATTATAGTCGCCCCCCCCAAACCCCAGGTGGGTCGCTGAGGGTTCAACCCCAGTTTTGGAACCAACTTTTCTTTCCACCACCGTCAGTCTGGCCCATCCGAAAACCTCCCCGGCCCCCTCGAAATTAATGACGCGGCGAGTAACCAGCCATCTCGTCCATAAATCAAGAGGAAATTAGAGGGACAGTGCTGCTACGAGCCTGGACGCTTCCCTCTCTGTCTCCCCGGTTGGCCGATTTATCATTTGGGCTGTGCATTAATAAACACCGGTCCCATGAGGCTTTGCAGTGATGGCACACAGGCCCCCGTCTCCCAAGCTAGGCTCTCCGTCGCTCTCTCTCCACCTCCACCATCCTCCAGTTTTCCACAAGTGGATGGGGGCTTGTTTTAGGTGTCGGATTTGTCCGAATCAGAGGTATAAAAGCAGACGTTTTGCAGGAGGTTAGATGGATGTATGAATGGGCGAAAACAGAAAAAGAAAAAAAAACAAAACACAAACTGTCAAGGAATCCCATGTGCTCTACATTGTGTTCTCACACTCCTCCTTACAAGAGCTGCCTTACAATAAAAAAATGTAAAGAGAGTGGAGGGTGTTGCTCTCCATAATGCCCCCATGCTTCAGTTGCAGCTCAGGCCTGTGGATGCCAGAATGCTACCACCCCACACACACACACACACAACACACTCTCTGATTACCATGTGAAAGGAAGCGCTCTGTAATCGCTGAATGTGTCAAACCAGAGATAGAGCATTTACGTTTTAGGGAGATGGATGGATTGAGGGGGACGTAAATATGCAGGAGGGGGGTTATCGGTTTTGTTTGCCTTTATGAAATAACTCGAAATGTTTTATTTCCAAGTCTTGAGTCACAAAGTCATTGTGTCAGTTCATGCACAAAGCGCGACATCCCCTCAGCGCTGCTTTTTGTCCCCTCCTTCCGTCTCACCCGTTTTTTTTATTTTTTCTCTCTCTCCCTCTCTGTCTTGCTTGTGACATCTCTGTGTGAAAAGACAACAAAAGTCATGTTTTAATCTCTACCCGTGGCTCATTGTGCGCGTGGAGAGAATGGTTGCGCCGTTTCCGCCTTTTACCTTTTCAAACCCCTCTTTGGTATTTCCAGTCAACACTGATTGCATTTGAATAACGAGTCAAATTGGACTTGATTAAATATTACCATACACAGTCGGAGCAGTTCTCCAACATAAAAGACATGTTTTCTCCTCGATGAAATGCAAGCAGTGCATCAAGTGACAGCTGAACACTCATTGAAATGGGCCTTTTGTCTGATGATTGACAAAAATGTCATCTGTTCGGGTTTGATTAGGTTAGAGTTTAAACAGAAATACTTGTATGAACCATCAAATGCTTTTTTTTTTTGTTTTTTAGCTTATTCTCTTGCCCTGAAGCATCTAAAAGTAGTCGGAAAAACAGGTGAACTTTAAATAGGGGTGCATCCATATAAAAATTTGCTGTTGTTGAAGATAAGCGATTTTTACCAGTATTGTATAAACTATATATATTTCCTGACCATGTTGACGCAGTGAAACCATGACCGCAAAGCCGACATTGCTTCCATCCTCCAGTTAAACATCCCACAATCCTCTGCTGCATCACTACCACATGACCACAACAAACACTACATGCTACCAGCATCCCTGCTTTAAACAACGCGGTAATTCCTTTCTCCATCCTCATCCTCCAGATTCGCGCTTCTCAAGCCCAAGGCTTCCGGGACGGCCCAACAGGAAGCGCCCCTTGACCATCTCTCCGCTCTCTGAGCACAGCCTCGATTTGCAGACCATGATTCGTAACTCCCCGAACGCCATAGTTACCACACTGATGAACAGCTCACGCTCCAGCTCCTCCACCAGCGGCTCCTACGGACATCTCTCCGCCAGAGCAATCAGGTAGCACACTAGAAAAAGGAAATAAAATCACCCCAAGTTTGGTTGTCAGAGCTGGAAAACAGTCGGACGGCGATGGCCGTGTTAGATTACGGTTGGTTTGATTTATTTTTAGATTTTCCTGGATAGAAATCTGACGTCTGCTAGCCTTCCAGTTGAAATCTCACCCCTGCAAACTTTAGGTTAGCTGCTACCTTCCATTAAACTTTCTAAACATTAACAAACTGTCATTATAAAAAGCACATTTTAGAACATTTATTGATTTTATTGTAGTTTGCAAAAGGTTTAATCTTGGAAAAAACTGATGAATATGTTTTTTCACTCTTTGAAAGTCAAATCAGACAGAAGAATTCTAGTATTATTTATATCTGACAAAAGAAGGAAAAGGAGAAACTGCTTTCTTAAATGTCAGAGGTTTTTGAGTGGCCATCACAACAGCTTAATCTCAGTTCCTTGAAAATCAGTGGATAGAAAATGATATTTGTGGCTTAATGTGCTAAATATAGAGTTTAGATGAGAACATTTCATATGTTCTTGTTAAAAAAAAAGAAAGTGGATAGATCTTGAAATCTGAGAGTGTGAGGCGGCCTGCGAACCTGACTCAGTTACACCTCTGCAGTCAGGAGGAATGGGCTGAAAGTCCAGCAAACTGTTGTGGAAGGACCCCGAAAATATTTAAAAACTTCTACTCTTGAAGAAAGTTTAAAAAATGTATACATCTCTAATTTTTGTGACATCTACCAATGAATAATTTTGGTAGTCATAACTGACTCCCTCTGCCCCAAAGCAGCAAAAATTGAAGAAAATAAATGGTTTTGTGTGTAAATATGTGGTTTCAGTTCTATACGTGACATTGGCTTCTTACCAGATTCACAAAAGACACAAAATGTGTGCTGGTATGTTGATAATTGCAGCAGGAAAATTGTCTGCTTTGCAAAATTATTCATGTTGTTTTAGGCAGGACCAAAGACTCTGCGTGCGATTCATACTCTGCACACAGCTTACAGAAAAATGCAGCATGTTTTCCCTTTTAGAATGGCGTCGTAATACATAAATAAAGCGTTTGGCACGAATGGGTGTCTGTGTGTGCTTTCGTGTCAAACGCCCGTGTGGGTGACGATCTCCCAGCCAGCCAGTCGGCTGGCTTCCCAGGCGGCTTGTGTCAGTCATCCAGCACACCTCAGGGAAACATCACATACATCATGCACCGGTACTGGCGGAGAGGCAAAGCAAAGCAGAAGAAAAGAGCGGAGAAGAGGGGGAAAAATGGGAAAGATCCATTGCCCCACCCTCAGCCATTGATCAGCGATCTGTAAAAGGGAGCTGATCAATCATGCTCCACGCTCAGCCACTGTCCGAGTGACAGGATCCAAATAGCCAGAGCCAACAGACTGATGAGTGATATGACAAGCGGATGGGCCTCCAAATGTGTCTCGGTCCATTGATTTCCACTCGGCTCATAATAAGATCAGCAGACATATGGGTCGCAGGTAGAGCCAATTGTCAGCGTGCAGAATGAATGAAGCCGAGCCACACAGATCCATGTTTATCCGGAGGTTTAACGATCGTTACACAGAGGAGGCTTCTGGGATTTTTATGATCAACAAAGTTAGCTCAGTCTGCAGATTAACACAGCGCCTTGCATAATTACCGTGAATTGTTCCACGTTGTTGTCACGTTGCAACCAAAAACTTCGATGCATTTCATCAGAAATCAAAGCAGTGTGATTTCTGCAGCGGGAAATGAAAGGAAAGTAATACATGTCTTTCACGGTTTTGTTGCAAATAACAATAAGTGTGACATGCATTTTTTATTTTGGCATTTGCTTTTAACGCACCACCATGCTGGTGAAACATGAAACCTTGCTGTTCCTGAGCTTAGTCCAAAAAATTTGACAAATTTCATATGTCAAAGATTCCTGGTCTAAAAAATCTGTTTAATTTTGATAAAATCCTCAATTTTCAGTTTGTTTTTCAGCAAATAAAAAGTAAGTAGAAATGTGTCTTCCTGTGTTAATAGTACATTAATGCAAAAAAAAAAGAAAAAAAAAAGTGCCCCAACAAGTGTTTTCAATTCGAAAATGCTGGACTTCATAGCAAAAAAAAAGTTTGAATATCTCTGAACTAAAAGATAATACATGTGCCTGTCTGAATGAGCTACTGGTCAGATGTGTCCAATTCTTGAATTAAATCACTAAAAATCATTCAGAAGACCACAAATGGCCCACGGACCTCGATTTGGACACCATTGTCAAAGTCCAGAACTAAATCCAAATGAAAAATGTGTGTCAGGGCCTGAAGTCTGATGTGTACAGATATTATTCATCACAATTTACTCATTGAGATGTTTTGCAAAGAACAATGTAGAGAATTTATTATTATGTTTTTAATGAGATCCTCAAAGCTGGTTGAGAAGAAGTATTGATTCAGAGGGGCTGATACAAAAACACACTCCTCTGATTTTATTTGTGTTGATCACATAAAATTATTGTAAAGGAAGTTAAAGTTTGTGACTGTAACGTGACAAAGTGTGAAAAAGATTCAAGCGGTACGAACGATTTCCAGAGGACTGTGAGAGGAAGGAAAGTGCTGCGACTTTATTTACATGGCTCCAAGATAGATTAACGGTTATTTATTATCTGTATTATTTTGCCCAGTGGAGGAATGACACACTGTCTTACACAAACCACTTGATAATTCACTGTGTTAACAAGCTTTATTTCCCAGCAGCCCCCCTGGTTCCGGCATTACCACACCATCTCATGTCAGATTGCCCTCAGGGTGAGGAGTTATCCAGAACAATCCATTTACTCACTTGAACTTCCCCTCCTTTGCCTCATTGCTTCTGTAATTAACGTTTGAAGTATTGTTTAGAGTTGTTTTACTCTGTTGTCTCTCCAGCCCGTTGAACTTCCCCTACCCTCCAACTCCGGTGGCGTTACACGTCCACCATCAGCTGATGGGCCGCCAGCCGGGGATCATGGGCTCCGCCTTCGGCCACAGCCCGCCGTTAGTCCACCCTACGCCGGCCTTTGCCAGCCAGCGTCCCGTGCCTGGCATCCCCCCGACTGGGCTCGGCGCCGGCGATCGCTCGGTCATCTCCAACGACTCGTCACAGGTGAGCACAGCGGCCTCTGCGATTCATCATCACGCGTTAATGGATGGCGGCGTCGCATGCCAGCCACTTGTGAACGGGATCGGCCAAGCAAGCGCAGGTACAGGCAGGACCCCCGTCCCCTCGACGCGCTCCTCTCCTGGGACTTTCCTTCCTCCTACTCGTGTTGTTTCCTGTTTTCAGCCCGTCGCGCACACGACGAGAGCGTGGCGGCAGCAAACAACCAGGGGCTTGTTAGCATAGAATCCCTCTGCTGAATCCATTAATCACTAGAGAGAGAGCAAGGATGTGGAGGAGTGGGGAATATTGACATGGATGGATGGATCCAAAGGGGTTTCCCCCAGTTTTTTTTTTCTCAATCCTTACGTTATGTGCGGCCCCGCATTTCAAGTAAATATTCTGTTTATTACCCGTCCTTTCTCTTCCCATGATCCCATGATTTTCAGAAATTGGACTAAACCGAAGAAAATGTTGTTTTGTCAGTGCTTGTCTTATGAGACAGTGACAATATTTTTTCGTTTTAATCCTAAAACTTTCTTTCCATATGCAGAGGCTGTCACTGGTTCAGCTCCGGTTCCATTTGCAGCACGTCTTCCTCTTCTTCCTGAACAAAGAGTGTCACAAAAACCTTTAAAAATAGATTCATTTCAGTAAAGCTCAAAGTTGTGGACGTTAGGACGTTCTTGCCTCAGAAATGAATATGTAGCTCAGCTCAAATGCGACGCAAGTTGGAAACACGAGGCATCAAAAAGCTCAGCGTTTTCCAAAACAAAACCACTGATCTCACTTGCTAGATGTCGAAATGTTTGGTTTTATGTTCAAAGGACTCACTCAGCATGATGCTACCACTACCATGCTTGACAGTTGTACAATGTTTCTACATTTGAAAGCATCTACTTGACTCCACCGAACAGATCTTTGTTTCATGTAACCATTAAATCTTTTTCCAGAAGACAGGTGGACATCGGAAGATCTCAGTCGTGCCTGAAGGAGCAACACTTCTTTCCTGACTCTATAATGAATACCTAAACACAACTCAGAAACGGGTCTTTTAGCAGAAATGAAGCAGTTGTTTAGTTATGTGAAAAGCTCAGCATTCTCTGGAATAACACCGTCTCATTTTCCAGATGTTTAAAAGTTCTGTTAATTTTTCTCCTCTCAAATAGCTTATTGTGTTACAGGAATCCTCCCGAGGGCGTATTTAGGCCAGGGCCAAATCCGGGTCATTCATTGGTGGAATTGGTTCATAAGATTGCTTTAATTGCACTGATTAGAGACGCTAATGTGATACACTGAATTGCAAAGTTCTTTGCTGGCTCAGTTTAAAGCTTCAGTTGCAGAAATCATTATGAGTCAACCCCACCAGTTTTGTCTTGTTGATTAAGTAAATAATTGGATTTGCTTATAAGCATTACATGCATTTTTAATGTTCCTATGAAGGGTAAAACTACTGGGATACTGAGCACGATGCAATTAGAGGGGGGGAATGATAAAGTTGGAAACGTTTTTGCGTTTTGTCTTTACCAAAGGCCAAGCCGACTAGCGAGTCAGCTGTGAGCAGCACCGGCGACCCGATGCATCACAAGCGGTCCAAAATGAAACCGGAGGATGAGTTGCCGAGTCCCGGAGCGGTGAGTGTGCAGGTGGGTTCTGTCTCCTGAATTAGATCGCCTTGAATTGAATTTGGACCAAATCTAAATAAAAAGGTATGAATTGGACCTTTTTGTTCTGCAAAGTGCCTTCTTATGACTTGGCGCTTTATAAATGAATTCAATTTAAAATCAGTTACTGATTCTATTGTTGAGTCAATTGTCCAGAACTACAAGCTCAGCACTTCCTCAAGTCCAGGGTTGTTCAAAGTGCACCTTATCTTTTTGTCCAAATAAATTAAACTTCCCAGAATAACATCCAATGTATTTATTTGCTGCAGAGTTACAGAAGGTAGTTAAAGAACTGAGAACAGCTGCTGAATGTGCAGTCACAGAATTAGATCTTCCATACAGAGATGACTTCAGTTTGCTTTTCTTTAACTCTTAAAAATGTGACCTCACCCATACAGTTTAATAAGGAAATCGGTTCATTATTACGGTTTAGTTTAACAAACACATTTTAATTGTTTGTTAAACTAGATCTACATTTATTATCCACTGACTTGGCAAAATATAACCAGTGTTTTCAGGACCGACCCATGTCCTATTGGTCGTCCAGGCCTTTGCAAAATCTTTGCACATCTGGCAATAACTTTCACTCACACATAATTGTTTAGACTGATTTTACGCGGCAGTTATTTAGACGTGTTTTCTCTCGACTTGTGTAAATCTCCACTTCTTTATCTTAAATCTGAATTCCTTGGAGTTTCCCCATTGTTCCGAGTAGGAGTCAAGCAGAAATGACCAGCTGCAGACACTCATGATCAATTGCAAGATTTTTATGGAACTTGGCCTTGTCAAGTTAAGGCATTCCTGAACCTTCATCAACACTCAATAGATGATCTCCTATGAACTCAAAGGAATGCACCAAATTCTTATTTTAAAAAGCCATTGCAGTTTTCTGTTGCATAATCGTTCTACTCTACCAAAAGGACATTTCATATGAACTAATATTTGAACTGTTTGTTCAATTCAAATATGAAGGATGATTGCCAATCATAATCCAAGTGATGATCGTACGCAATGTGGCTACAACAGCACTCAATATTTATTCTCTTACATGATGTTTTGTTGGTGTTTTCTAATCACTTAGATTTTTTGAGATGAGAGAGAAAATAGATTTTGCTCTTGTTTAATCAAAAAAAAATTAAGGGGCTTTGAAAAAGTGAAAGCAAAATGTAAGCAAATGGCAAGGGGGGGAAAAGCTGATTATAAGACGGTAGCTTGAAATAAACTGGGGTTTGCAGTGGAAGCCTCTTCTGCAGTAGCTCAGAGTCTAGGCATGTTGAGGATAAAATCTTCCAAAAATTCAGAGTGGCTTCTTCTGCTATATTTACCCCTCATAGAGCCAAGCAAGGCCAGACACACATGTTTGAGACGTGTAGGCAATAACTCTCTGCTGTGCCTGTGAAAAATCTAATTTATGACCGGTTTATATGTTTGTGAGCCGAAGCATATGTTATTAAACGCCTCTTGTGTTACATCAGTCTCAGTGTATTGGTTCCCACTGGTTGTTCAGGACCATCCTGATGGGATGACTCTGGTGAAGGAGGAAGGCGACAAAGACGAGAGCAAACAGGAGCCGGAGGTGGTTTACGAGACAAACTGCCACTGGGAGAACTGCTGCCGTGAGTTTGACACCCAGGAACAGCTGGTACAAGTAAGTATCCAGCAGCCCTCACAATATATGAAGGCTTTCTTCCTCTGTAGTCTTCCATAAGTAAAACACATTTAACACAGCTGCCCGTCGTCTCGGGAATGTAACGATTAGCAAACTGACCGCAAGATCAAGCAATGTACTGCTAAGTGAAATCACCAAAAACACAAGTACTCCATTTCAAACTCTACACTAACTGAGGTTAGTGGGGGGAATTTTAAACGTTCATGACAGTATAATTAGAACAAGATAAAAAAAAGTACAGCTTGTTTGGCAGCATAGCTGGGAGACTGGAGGCATTATCAGAGAAAAGGGACAAGCGTTTATGCCTCTCCATAAGATTAGCTTCCTTTGCCAGACCAGTAAGACACAACAGGTGTACAATCCTACAGAGCTGCTCAAAAAAACAGACAAGCTGGGTCTTTTTTTTTTTTTTCCCCCACCTATCTCCCCGGACCTCAGCTTCTGTGTCTGGCAGGCCACAGCAGAGTGAGGGCCTTGAGCGCTGAACGTTAGTAATGCTGAATTCCTGATTGGTTCCACGGATCGTGATAATGGGCTCAGAAGCTGGAGTCCCATCTCACAGCTGGATGGTGTGAACTTATTTGGCGGGTTAAGCCTCACAGAATTCTGTGTACTCTACCAGACCGAACCAACTCCCTGTCTGTTATCATAATTCTTGCAGACGCCTGGAGATGGATGTTTCCCGGTCATACTTCGCCTGTGGCTTTGTGGAAAGCTAAAAAAAAAAAAAAGATGCCATTAGCGTAATCATCATGTCACCCCTACTGTGGCCAGAGGTGCTTTTAGCTTTGCTTTGCAGCATCTGAACCACTTACCCTTCATCTGAGCGGGAAACCAAACTGGAGTTGGACAAGCGATGAAATTACACCCATACAAGCGATGGGGAAGGGCTTACACAGACATGTGCAGCTGAGAAACACATCAGGACACATCTGATAGAAAGATCCTAAGCTCTCCACAGCTGTCTACTTGCCGTCTTGACATCGCAATCCTCAGCTGCGGTGGTAACCCCTATCTATAATTGATATCCTCAGCACGAAATGGGCTTGCCTCCCGTGTTTGAAGGGCTCAGCTCAAAAGGTTGAGGATCTTGACAACTTCTTGCCCCTGTTTCAGGAGGTAGGATGAGTAAAAGCAGTTGGGAGAGAAGTGGAGGCGAATATTGCTCACCTTCTCCCCCTGCTGTACTCACAGCCCGGTTGCCTTCATAGGGAAACAATATGTCCTCTCTGATTAGTTTTCACGTTTCTGTCTTGGAAATGTTTTTTTTCTCTGGCATCAGACTTTCTGATATGATGTTTTATTTCTCATTTTTAATGCACATGGAGATGTGCGGAGAGATGCCAATAACAGTCCTCGCCTACAGACTCCCTGCCCCTCTAATTCAGCAGAGCGGACGGGAAAATGCTCTTATCTCTCCACACCCCCACCCCCTCAGTAATAGGATAAGTACAGTATTTGGACCACAGTGGCTCTCTTCACTCTCTGGGAGGGGTTTGGGATGGCAGCGGCGGTGGTGGTGGTGCCGGTGGTGGTGGAGGGGATTTCCATATATCCAAACAATGGCGCGTCCCTTCCCCCGTACTTGTCTTCTGAAACAGCTTCAGGGAGGAAAAGCGTTATGAGAAAAAAAAAATCCATCAGTTTCCCCTTAACTGAAGCAGTTCTAATGTTTAAGTTTCATTTTCAGAAGTGCTTGACAAGTCTGTCAAGACGTACTCACTTTCTGAAGTGTTACAAGTAAGAAATCCACAGTGAAATATCCCCTTTTCTTTGTGGTTGGCCTAATTTTGGAATTAAGCCTTCACGCCACCCTCATTGCTTCCCCCCTTGTACAAAAGCGCTTCCTGTAGTGCTCTTGATGCATATTTCTGCACCCCTCAAACATTCTTTTCACCGGCGTTCCCTTTATCACACGCGTATAAGCACTCACGGTGCCACCGATAAGATAAACATCAGATCTATGCAATTTGGCCCACTTTATCAGGCCTACCCAGTCAGCAAAAGCGAGGCGGGTGTCAATTTTGTAGTTTGCGAGATTTATTTGATTTATTGTATTTCTACTCGTTCTACCTCTCCATCGTGGTTTAAGCTCAACATTCTCTAGCCCTCCCCCCTCTTTTTGGGGACACTTCCCCCTCTCTTTCTTGCTCTCTCATTTTCTATTTTACTTTCTCCCCTCCTCTTTTTCCCCTCAGAGGGAACACTTTTAAAGATAAGGCCTGGTGGCTTTTTTTAATGTATCTCTTGAAGTTGGCTTTTATTCAGCTTTTTGTTGCCATAGAGGCCAACCCCTTATTGGCATAATTTCCTATTATTACAGCCTTGCTCAACAACCTTATTATTATTTTATTGTTGATCTTTTAGAACATTTTCACAGCAGATAAGTCTACAAGGGCACAGTGTGGATAACTTAGTGACATCATTGTAACAACTTGCAATAAATCTATTTACTTTTTCTGGTGTTATTGGAGATTCCTGGAGTCTGACATTAAAGCACAAATTGATTTTAGTTTACTAATAATGACCAGCGGGTTTTTGCTGTGGACCCCAGCCCTGTCCCAGAACACTCACAGGTGGCCCGGTCTTAGCTCTGAAGATTCAGTGTCCAGACTGCAGATGAGCTTTCTGGCTGATCTTTCAATCAAAGCAAGATGCAAATGTAAAATGTTCTTTCTCCAAAAGAAAACTCAATACCGTTCCAAGTTTATTTTAGGAAAGGAAGCTCAAATGTTGAGGTTCACTTCTAAAAATCATCACTAAAAGGACATTTTTCAGCCAGCTTTGGCTGAAATGCCAACAAATGCTAACAAACCCAATTTATCCAATAGTAGTATGTGAAAGCTTTAGATGATATGGTGTTTAGGTAGACTTTCAAGCAAACAAAATATTTCCAAAGTTTGTTATTAGGGCTGCTGAAGGTCTCAGAGGTTCATATGTTTTATCACCAGGTCAAACACACACTCGGCGTTGTAATGCTCTCAGATGGAAAGCTGTTACTCCATGTGTGCAGCCTTGTTAAAACTCCTGTTGTGTGCTTCCCCAGTGTTAAAGAATGATAAACGCTGGCACAGTCTGAAAGCACACCCCCCCTTCAGCCCTCTCTGGCTGCTGGCACAGGCCTTTAATTGGTAAAACGCTGCTTTTTTTGATCATGAGAAGGATTAGGCCCTTATCTGTCTAGAGTATCTTACTCCAAGATGAAAAGACTGCTGAATTACACATGCCAATTTCAGCTCCCTGCCCCCTGCTTCTCATTCGCTTTCTCTCATCCTCCCTCCTTTTCTCACTAACCCACTCTCAATTCCCACTTTCATTTAATCTCTCTCTCTCTCTATCTCTCTCTCCCTCTCATTGCCTTCCATCTTTTCCTTTTCTGTGCTTTTTTTTCCCTCCCCACCTCTCTTTATACAAAGCATTTCAGCAACTGACATCACAAAAGAGCATATGATTTATTAGGCAATGTTTGATAAAGCTAAACGGTGTTGCGGGTCCCATCGCTTTGTGAAATTGCCTTGTAAACAGACCCTCTTTTCATGCACGCTTGCATTCTAATGCATGAGGGCAGCGTCCCAAAGAGGGTTTGATAAGGAAACATGGAAATGAATACTGAAGTGAACAAATAGTGGGAAGTAGCAGGGAAGAAAATGATATGATTTAGTGTATTCCAATATCAAGTGTTGAGATGTTGGAAAACAGCATAAAGCTATAATTCAAATTGTTAAAGCTGCAAAGCAGCATTGAATGACCCCTTGCACTTTAGTGGTCAGAAGCTTTGAGCCTGGAATTGCGTTCGGTTAGCGTCTGTGAATAATACATAAAAGCATTTTTTTTTTGGAATTGAACGATCTCTCTTTGAGTTGTGCCAACTTCTAGTTTGGCTACTACGGTTTGGGGAGGACCACAATCCTGTAAGTGTTTGGCTGGGGATTGCACAGAAACGTTTAGTGGGCTTGGAGATTGGTTCTTAAAGTCTGGCCATGTCCATATGCTTGGCCAGGCATCAATATTTTATTGATTTTTATTTCCCCAAAGCATTAAAAATTGAATGAATCGGTAAATCTGTTTGCTGTTGTTTGAGTTCAGCCATGTAAAGTGTACAAAAAGAACCCTTTCATCCGAAATGACCAACTTCCTGTTGGGATTTGAGGTTATTTGTGTTGGATAACATATACCAAATTTCACAAGCTTCTGTCAAAGGAGAAAGTTGTTGAAGTGAAGAAGGTCAAAGATGGACATCATTAAGTAAAACAGGAGTTTCTGTTGTTAATGATTTTCTGGTTGGCCACAGCCACATCCCTAAATTAAAACTCAAGCTTTTGATAACTTTCAGTTCCCCATGCCTTAAAAGAATGATGATCAAGTTTGAAGCTGACGCCTCATCTAGGAGGAATTTCTATTGAAGGGAAAAGCTAGAGATGGCTTGAATGTGGCATTTTTTATACAAAATGGCTGACTTCCTGTTCAGTACATGCCTGCTTTAGAGTTGTTGCCTGTAAAACATTTTGTAGCTCTCCATTAAAATAAGGTGAATGTCAAGGGTCTTGGTCCAAGAAACTGCTGTTTAGGGTTTGTTGTTGAGCCATTATCCGACTTTTTGAGCATGTTCAACCCGCTACTGACACAACCCAGGCCTTTTTGCCGTCTTTGGTGCTGGTGCCTAAGAAGTATGTGCTATATGTTAGCTGTGAACCACAGGGGGCTGAACCAAGAGAACAGTGCCTGCACCTGTGCGTGTGTGGAAGCACACAGTTCATACGTCACAGCCGGTGCCTGTGTCCCCTGTGTCCGTGTCCCATGCGTTTCCTGTCATGCTGCTCCCTCCTAAATCCATCTTGGTGGCATTTTTACAGTTGTTGGCCGATAAGCTGGCAGGGGGAAGATGAATAACCCACCGCGCCACCGCTATCAGCACCTGTTTGTCGATTTAGCCGACCAACGGGACCTGTCTGCTCAGCATGGAGATTATTGATTCAATAAGAATTGCCATTAGATCATGCCATTAGGTTTCTCTGCAGTCCTGCTCCCCCCCCACCCCTTCCACTTCCCCCTGCGGTGTTGCCTGTCCCCCTCACTGTCAGCCCAGAGCCTAATGCATCACGCCCGTCAACGACCTCCTTCATTTGTTCAAACAGTAAATGTGTGTGAGTTTGCCAGCTGCCAGCACATGATCCAACTCTACAGCACTCTCCCATCGCTCTCAGCCGCAGGATATCGAACACAGGTCACAGCAGACCGATCGCTTGCCGCCGGGATTGCCTCTTGAAGACGAAGAAAAAGAGAGGAAGAGTCAGGGTTGTTTTATTTTTTTATTTTTTGAAGAGCTGGCCAACATGGGAAGGAGATTGATTTAAAGTCTCTGATCATCCAATTGTCCAACCATTCTCCCCTGTAGTTCTGGGCTTGTCACTTTAAAATTACAGAAATGCCTCATGAGAATTACAGTTGCTATTTGATGATAAAAATGCATAGCAATCCCAGATAGTA